GCGCGGAGGACAGGCTCAGTGAGCGGGGCACGGCGCGGGCAGGGACCCGCACACCCTCGGGGGCGCAGCACTCACGTCTCATGGGGCTCTCGACCGCCGGGGGCCCCTCGCCTGGGCGCTCGATCTTGAAGACTTCGTCCACGAAGACAATGCGACAGTTGTGCAGCGAATGGTCCCTGCGGGAGGACACCCCCGGACGTCAGCAGGCCCCACCTGGCGCTCCCAGGAAGGCTTGGTTGCGGTGTTTGGCTTTTGTGGGTCTGAGCTACTTCACCGCCCTTTTTTATTTTTATTTTAGACAGGCTCTCGCTAAGTCACCCAAGCACAGTGGAACTTGTGATCCTCCTGCTTCAGCCTTTCCAGCACAGGGATTACAGGCTTCTGTCAGCAGGCCAGGCTCACAGAGGATTTTGCTCTCACCCTATCCTGGGCATATTTCAACAACACAGGTCCCAGTGAGGTCGGACAGGAGACTGTGCAGGCTCCGTGCAGGACCTGAGCTGGTCCTCTTGCCAAGTCAAGTCCTGCTAAACCAGACTCAAGACAAAAACAAGCCATAACTTCATCATGGGATGTGTCTGGCAAGTTTAAACCCTTGCGCAGAGAAGGCCAACTGGAGACACAACAGCAAAGAACATCAAGAAACACTGACCAACTTGTCCTTTAAAAATGTATATATAGGGCCGGGGATTTAGCTCAGTGGTTTCACCACCTGTCTCACAAGCAGCACAAGAGCCAGAGTTCAATCCCCGGTACAAAAAGAAAAAAAAAATGTATATATATCAGGCCGGGGAGTTAGCTCAGTGGTTCTGTCACCTGCCTTGCAAGCACAGGGTCCCAAGTTTGATCCTCAATGCCAAAATAAAAAAGTGTATATATCATCCCAGCACCCAGGAGGCTGAGACAGGAGGATTGCCTTGAGTTTGAGGCCAGCCTGGGCAAGGCCGTGTCTCAAAAAAAACAAACAGAAAAGCTCCTATGACTTAAAATGAGTCCCAGACAACCTCATCAGGAACATCCAAGGGAAAAAGAGTTCAAGTCACAAATACATGCTCAATTTTCTGGTGCTCACATCCAAAAGGAAACAGGTGGGATTGAGTTAAAAGACACAAGATATTATTTCAACATGGGATGGGTACAAAGCAAGTCACTGGGGCTGGGGTGTAGTTTAGGGGTACAGTGTGTGCCTCACATGCAGCAAACCCTGGGCGCCATCCCTGGCACCACAAAAAAAATGAAAATCATGACCAGAGACAGGTGTGGTGGTGGACACCTGGAATCCCAGCACTCAGGATGCTGAAAAGCAGGAGGGCAGCAAGTATGAGGCCAGCTGAACTGCACAGTGTGAGCCTGTCTGAAGAGGAAAGGACGATGGCCAGAGACAAACAGGGACATTACATAACGATGAAGAGATCAAGCCGACGAGGTGTCACATACACACCTGCAATCGCAGCACTCCAGGAGGCTGAGCTCAGTCCGGGGCAGCTTAGCAAGACCATACCTCAGAATTTTTAAAAAATTAAGAAAGGGTAGAGATGCAGCTCTGTGTGTATGGAGGCTTTGGGTGCGATCCCAGGACACACACACAGCCTCAAGTGACCAAGGAGACACAATGACTGTAAACACAGAGGCACCAAACAAGCACGCCTCAAAATACATAAAGCCGCAAGAAACAGAAAATTCCACATATACAGCCAGGGACGCCAGTAATCCACTCTCCAGTGACAGAACTCGGACCAAGTCCAGGAAGAGCAGATCTGGGCCACAGCCAACCCACTGGACCTCACAGCTACACACAGGGCACTCTCCCTGCAGCGAGAAAACACACCTTTGGCTTTTGGTTTTGTTTTTATTTTTCCTTTCTCTTCAACTGGCTATGGAACAGTCAGTCACCAAGAGAGGCCGTATATCCCAGGCTGAAACACACACTTCACAGGACTAAAATCAGAGTATGTTCTCTGACCAGGATGAAGCCAAATGACAAATCGCTAAACACCTGGAAATTAAACAAGGCCCTCCTATATACACCACGAGTCAAAGACAAGTCTCACAGCAGAGTGGTGTCCCCTAGAACACCAGCATTTGGGAGGCTGGGGAAAGCTGGCCCACACTGCAGCGTGTGTGCCCAAACATGCAACAGAGCAAAGTACGGTGGCAAGTGCTTAAAGCTCTGCCGAGAGGGAAGCTCAGCACTGAAGGCTCCTACCAGAGGGATTGCCTCAGATCCACACAGACCCCATCCTGAGAAAACCAGAAGAGAGCAAAACCATCCTTCAGCAGGGCCGGGGATTAGGCTCAGTGGAACTGCATCTGCCTCACAAGAGCAAGGTCCCGAGTTCAATCCCCGGTACAAAAAAAAAAAAAAAAAAAAAAAAAAAAAAAAAAAAAAAAAATCAACCCTAAGCAAGCAGAAGAGAATTTATTGTTTTGAGGGGGTTCTTCATATTTTTCTTCCCCGCTCTTTTCTTTTTGAGACAGGGTCTTACCGTGTAATTGAGACTGACCTGGAACTCACTATGTAGCCCAGGCTGGTCTCAAACTCACAGCGATCCTCCTGCCTCAGCCTCCTGAGTGTTAGGATTATAGGCGTGCACCACCATGCCCAGCTTTTTTTCTTCCCTTTTTCTTTTGTACTGGGGATTGAACTCTCCTTGTGCTTGCAAAGCAGGCGGCACCACCACTGAGCTAAATTCCTGGTCCCTTCTTCCCTTTTTTTTTTGAAGGCAGAAAATTTAAAAAGCAAGAACAAAAAATCAATGAAACTCAAAATAAGGGGGGGATGAATAAAAAGCTAATTCGCCCCCCCCCCAAAAAATTGCCCCTGCCTCAAAAGTGCAAGGTCCTGAGTTCCATCCCTCATACCAAAAAGAAAAAAAAAACAAAAACAAAAAAAAACTGATAAGCTTCCAGCAAAAAAGACAAAAATAAAGACAAACTGTCAAAAGGATGTGACAGACAAAGCAAGCACAACTGGAGGACTAAAGGACCACAGGAAACAGCTTTACGCTCACAGAAACAGCTTGAGTTCTGGGGTTTGAGATCAGGGGACACAGGCTGCTGGACAGCACACCCCAAGCCTGACAACCTCCCTGACTTTTGAGTATACAGAAAAGGCAGCTTAGCTGGGCACCTGTCATCCCATCACTCTGGGAGGCTGAGGCAGGGGGATTTCAAGCCCAAGCCTAGCCTAGGCAACTTCAGGACTTAATAAGACCTTGTTTCAAAACCAAAATCAAATTAGGCCTGTGGAGCCTATCATCCCAGCACCCGGGAGAAGCTGAGGCAGGCGGATCACCATGAGATCCAGGCCAGCCTGAAGACAAAGCAAGACCTTGTCCCACCCCCCACCCCACCCCCAAATAAAAAAGCTCAGTGAGAAAGCTCTGGTGCCCCTCACTCTCCCCTGCACCTTCCTGCCTCCCCCGGGATTCATCACCATCACCCGGGGAGCCCACAGAAGACTCCACAAAGCCCATCCCAGCCCAGCTCACCCAAGCCTGATGTTGGCATACAGCTCCCGCCCCG